TAAGTGTAGCATCAATGTTAAATAATACTCACGATATAATTATTTTAAAATCATATTTCAATTAAATAAAATTTTCGATGTTTTTTTCATAGATTTCATTGTTACATAAATATAAAATAATACTCAGCATGAAATTATTTCATAATCATATTTCATTTGAATTCGAGGTTGTATATTTTAGATAGATTGAATAATAGCATCAATGTTCAATAATACTCACCATGAAATTATTCTTGATTTATATTTCAATGGAATCAAAGATTTCATGTTTGTTATAGTTCAAATAATAATATCAACATTGAAAATTCTTAAAAATGAAATTATTCTAAAATGATGTTCGATTTCCATTAGTTGTTGGATATTTTGTATAGACTTATGTATAATATCAATATTAAATAATACTGACCATCCTCATATTCTAAAATAATGTTTCGATTGAATTATTAATTGCATGTTTTTTTTTTTTCTTAAATTATATTGTAACGTCAACATGAAATAATACTAATAATGAAATTATTCAAAAAATACGTTTGATATGAATTCGAACTGGTAAATTTTTTTATAGACTTAATTGTAATATCATTATTAAATAAAACTCATCATGATATTATTCTAAAATCATTTTGTAATTAAATGAAAAAATACATGTTGTTCATAGTTTCTATTCTAACATCAAGATTAAATAATACAGATCATAAAATTATTCTAAAAATTTATTTTAATTGAATGAAAGATTTTAAGTCTTCATAGATTGAAGTATAAAATGAAAATTAAATGATAATAAAAAAGAAATTATTCTAAAATTATCTTTCAATTGAAACCAGAAATGTCATGTTTTCTAGAGATTTAATTCTAAAATCGATAGTAAATTATAATGAGCATGAAATTATTCTAAAAATATATTTGACTTGATTTAAATATTTCTTGTTTTTTTATTGATATAATTATATAATCATAATTTAATAATACTAAGCATTAAATTATTCTAAAATAAAGTTTCAATCGAATGAAAAATCTTATTTTTCTTTTTATTTGACTGATAAAATCAAGATTAAATGATCTGAACGATGAAATGAGTCTTAAATGATACGTGAAATGATTTAGGATTTGAATTGTTTCTCTTCAAATTATTATAACATGAACATCAAATAATACTTACGAAAAAATTATTCTAGAATCATGATTGAATTGAATCAGAAAGTGCACGTTTTTCAAAGATATATATTTAAGATCAATTTTAAATAATATTAACGATTGAATTATACTTAAATTATGTTTATATGATCTCAGAAATTTTATATATTTTATAAATATTTCATTGTAACATCAACAATCGATGATACTCATCATGAAATAATTCTAAGATTATGTTTCAATTGAATTTAAAATTCCATGTTTTGAATAGTTTGAATGATAACATCAACAATAGCTAAAACTCAAAATGAAGTTATTGTCAAATTATGTTTTAACGGAATTATAAATTCCATGTTTTTATTGTTTAATTGGTTACATGAATATCATATCTTACTGAGCATGAAATCATCCTAAAATCATAATTCATTTGAAATAGGAAATGTTTTTTCTTCATTGATTAAATAATAACAGCGAAATCAAATAATAGTGAGCATGAAACAATTCAACAATCATATGTCGAATGACTGACAAATTACATTTTGCTTCATAGATTCACTCATTATATTGATATTGAATGACACTCAGCATGAAGTGAGATTCGAAAATCAAGTTTCAATTGTATGAGAAATTGTATAGTTATATTTGATTAGGTTATAACATTAAGGTTAAATGAATTCGACGATTAAATTATTCTTAAACAATGTGTAGATTAGTTTTGAATTTATTTACTCTTTTTTTAAGTTAATTATGACATGAACATCAAATAATAATCACGAGATAATTATTCTAGAATTATGATTGTATTAAATTAGAAATTACATGTTTCTGAAAAATCTAAATTCAAGATCGATTTTAAATAATACATAGGATCGAATTATTCCTAAATCATATTTCAATGGATTCAGAAATTCCATTTTTTCTATACATATCATGATAACATTAATAATTGATGATGTTGATCATGAAACGATTCTAAGATTATGTTTCAGCTGAACTCAAATCCGCATATTTTGAATAGATTGAATGATAACGTTGATAATAGACAAGACTCAAAATGAAATTATTGTCAAATCATGTTTCAATGGATTTATAAGTTGTATATTTTTATTGATTCGATTAATACATCAAGATTAAATGACACTTATTATGAAATTATTCTAAAATTATGTTTTAATTGAATTAGAAGTCGGATCTTGTTTTTGTGATTTCATAATAAAATCAGCAGTGCATAATAACTAGGATCGATTTCACTTTTATCTATATCTAAAGAAAGATAGAACATTAAGATTAGCATTTTTTGTACTAGTTTTGAAAAATTCGTGTGTTCGAGAAATTCCCAGATTGTTGCTTCATTTATCCGAAGCAATTATTAGTACGGATTATGTTGTGTGCAAGTATAGGAATATGTTTGATTTTTATGAATGTAAGTAGCTAGATATCGAATGTACCATTTTATTTATACTCGATTTGTAAAGAAGATTTTTTTTTGGGCGTAAGCTTCTATGTTACGATTCAACTATTGTAGCTATTACGATAGTATAAGCTTTGCAAGTGTGGACTCAACCGTTACATTCTTATTACTCTTGTCAGCTGAATTAAATGTAATTTTATTTGTATCGTTCTTATGATGATAGTGAAATAGAGTAGTGGAGACAGCATCGATATAGGTAAATACTCGCTTTCTTAATGTCATCATCCTGGAGAATAATATATTTTTTCATGTTCTGTGTTGTTTTTGTCTATCGTGAGTGTTTGTCTCTTATACGTAAGTCCATTACAATATCGTAAGTTTTTCTGGAGTCTGGAAAAATCTTAGGTTGCTAATATAGTTAATGAAACAAAAAAAAAACTGGCTGCATTAATTAAAATTCGTCACATTGTCACTGTGGATAACACTTGCTGCATGCTCTTCAATGAATATGCTTAATCCTATCTTATTGTAATGTTGCAATCGGTAGAGTTTTTTCTAACTTTCTACTGGAGCCTGTCTAAGCCCATTAGACCAAAATGAGTCATATTTAACTCTGAATAATGATACAAATTGCTTAAGACTTCTATTTCATCACTAGAGCACCTTTCTAAAAACATGATCATGAGTACACATTAAAGGATATGGTAGGAAACTTGATCCTATCTTGCTATCAGGCTTTCAGTTTGAGGCCGAATGCTTCAATTTCCTTCTCTATAACGTCAACCTGGAAAAGCAATTAAATTTTCATGATTTAATCTCATATGGGGTTAAATCAAATAGATTCAAGCTAGCATGCTCTTGTAACATATTAATATTGGGATGAGATCATATATGAAGCCCTAATGCAAAGTTTAGGCGGAAGAACGTAATAAAAATAATAAAAAAGAGAAGTAAATATGTAATGAGTTAAACTTGATAATGAAATGACTTGATAGAATATATGATGTCTATTTTGATGAATATTGATTAAATCTAAACAGTCTCCCTCAAGACTTTTTGTAGAAATCATCATGGATACCGGTAAGCTAAGTCTAATATGTAAGCATATAAACACTTCTATGATGTATTTTTGCAGAAAATAAGCAAAAAAAAATAGGAAAAAACTCTAGACTGATTGATAAGGAATCCTAGATCGACCTTCCTGATCATTTGTCGGTACCGGTTACAACAGTATCGTCTTGATTATTTAAGTATAATTTCATGTATCAGTCTAACTATATTCATTTGTTTCTTGATCTATTTGCATGGTCACTACCCAGGAGGGCAAAAGACGGGTAAAAAGACTAGTTAGTTTTAC